TAAACACACACACACTTGAAGATTCTGCATAATTGTTACCTTATTAGATATCCCATTACAGTCAAACAAAAAAGCTTAACAAAATCAAATATTAAAGTACAGTATTTAACCATTTTTCTGTATTCAGAGATTATTAAATATAATGGTTACAGCAGATATTTTCGTGGCTAAATTACTGCCTTTAACAAAGCCTAATCAATTTGTACTGTTATACAGTATTTTATAAACAGAAATTGTGAAAGATATAACACTGATCACATGCTGGTTTAACCCACGTCTATGTGCCTTCAAATGTCACAAAAAGGCATCCTTAATTCCTTCTGAATATTGAAAGGAACAATGCAAAACTAGTGCCTATGAACCCATAATATCTTAAATCACTATACAGTATTTTGATGGGCTGCACAAAAATAAAATGTTTATTTACAAATTTAAGAAAAATACTGCATCACTGTAGTGTTGAAAGTTCCTTTGCCAACTGGAATTGATAAACATGACACTACAGTTACTAAATAGAATCAAACCAGTACATTCTCCCAAATGACTTGTAAAAACATTTATCAACTGTAGATGTTTATTTACAAAAATTGCTTTTAAAATGCTTAAACAATACCATTTACATTGCTATGGTTTAAAGACAAGCTGTAAAAGGAAAAACATTTACATAGGTGGCTTGAGGTATTGGTTAAGACAACTAAAAGGCAAATAAGATTGCAGAACTTTACAATCATTTCATCCAAAATGGTTATTTAATTCAGTAAAAGTACCATTTCGCAAAATCCATTTCACAACTTAAGAAATTCTGAAAAAAAATCAACCACATTAATAATATGATGGGGGGGGAAGGTAATAGCCCCTGGAAAACACGGATACATCTTTTAGCTAATGAAATCCTGTGGTAAATTAACCTACAGCAACTATCCAAAAATCAATATAACCAGTAACATAAAGTCCGATATACAGTATAAGTTACATGTCATGAGATCATTTTCTATGCTCTATCGCCACAAGTTGCAGGCTTTACCTGAACAGCAAACTTACAGGAAATAGAACACAACTCAAAATGTTGAATATTAAAAGTCGGTCGATTCAATTCACTCAATTATTTACAATTTTAAAAAACAAATATACAGCAACCAAACTGGCACAACACAAAACACAGTTACAGAGGAATTGCAGATTATCAATGAAGGCCAATTTACAATCCAAACTCCATATATTAATCACTACACTTAATGTTTCATTCTCAGGTTCCGAAATGTGATTTAAAAGTTATGTTTTAATTTACTAAAGGCAGAACTAGATTTTGTTCAGCCCAAGTCAATTCACCTCTCACATTTGTAAAGATCTAGAAGTAAACAAGATTACCAACAGTGAAATATAGTGCACTAACATTTAATTTAATTGACAACCTTTAGGCCTCAATTTCCCCAATGACCACAGATATTAGGAGAGAAAGTCAAGACACCCAAATGTTCAAGCAAAATAGACAATTTTTCCCCCATTTACAGACCGTCACTGGGCGCTGATGACTATTTCAAAGCACGGACATATCAGCATTTGTTAGCAGTCTAACAACTTGCTGCTAAATCAGCAAGTCTGTAAGCACTTCTGAAACATGGCAGTCAACCAAGGCAAGGATTACTGTAGAACAATTGCCAGCCTTATACACAGCAACTCATGAGCAGAAGAGAGGAAAAACAAGTTCCAAACTCAACAGTGGCTCTAAATTTAAAGGACATCAAATTAGTATTAGTACAACCTACATTATTATAATTGGATGATTTAAATATACAGTAGTCAGCAATTAACTACTGACTGCAGGGTGAACTACAGTGAGGTATTTGAATAACTGAACACAAGTCCAATAGCCTATTATGCTGCAACCCTGTTAAGATCATTTTTGCCCGAGAAGGGAAAACACACATTATCTGATCAGAATTTCAACCTGAATTTAATTTTAAACTACATAAAGGGAAAACCCGGTGCAATGTATTGATGTTCTTTTAAATACTGTACAAACCAGATCAGCTCATGTGATCAACAACACTTCAGCCCAAACTGTACAATCCATTTGGTGCAATAGGGCAGAAGGGAAATGGCAGCATTTAAGAAAATAAAGTCTCGCCTGTTGCAAGTTTGCAAACTCCTCTGGTTTAAAGGGTGCTGTAGAATGACAGGGCAGCAACCCCCCACACCCCCTCCACACCCAAATAAAAACTACAGACATTCAGCTACCGAATTCGGAAAAATACTTTGTCATCTTCAGCTCCAGTGACTTAAAAAGAGGCAGAAATTTAAGATGACTGGACTGAATGGCACAGGAAACTTGACCTGATGCCCATGGCATTAAATAATCCTGCAAGGTCAGGAAAGTTCACTTTAAGCATGAATTTGATCTTGAGTGAGCAGCAGCTCGACTGTAACTGGAGAAATTGGTGGCTTCGAAAGGGGCAGTGGGTGTTAATATTAGGAATTACATCTCCACTAAAAACTGCATTTTCTACCCCCCCCCACACACACACAGGACTGAGATCAGATGGATGCAAAATTGAAAGGGAACCATAGATTGATGCACATTTCCCCCCCACCTCGAAGACATTAAAAAAAGGTGTAAAACGCTCATCAAGAGAATAAATCATTGCAAATCTTGAAGCATTATTTTATGACTAACGATCTTCAGGCTGAGAGCCAGTCGAGGTTTGCAGAGATCTGGGCGTCCAGTATAAAGGGTAAAAAAAAAAGGCAGCTATTTTGACCTCTGCAAAACCTACTCATAAAATACACAGTGCTCAGCTTTCCCCACCTGCTGCCCGGGGGTCCACCGCCGGGAAATGGGTTTAAAATTGTTTTTAAAAAACATAGAATTCCAATCGATCCCCAAAAGGTAAAGTGCCCCCCGAAAGGCAGCGGTTTCCAGGAGAGGACAGACAGACACACACAGACAGACACACACACACAGACACCGAGACAGACACACACAGACAGACACACACACACAGACAGACACACACACACAGACACACACACACAGAGACAGACACACACACACACACACACAGACAGACACACACACAGACAGACACACACACAGACAGACACACACACAGACAGACACCGAGACAGACACACACACAGAGACAGACACACACACAGACACCGAGACAGACACACACACAGAGACAGACACACACACAAACACCGAGACAGACACACACACAGAGACAGACAGACAGACACAGACAGACACACACAGACAGACACACACACACAGAGACACACACACACACACAGACACACACAGAGACACACACAGACAGACACACACACAGACAGACACACACAACACACACAGAGACACACACACAGACACACACACAGACACACACAGACACACACACAGACAGACACACACACAGACACACACACACAGACAGACACACACACAGACACACACACACACACAGACACACACACACAGACACACACACACAGACAGACACACAGACAGACACACACACACACACAGACAGACACACACACACACACAGACAGACACACACACACACAGACAGACACACACACACAGAGACAGACACACACACACAGAGACAGACAGACACACACAGAGACAGACAGACAAACACAGAGACAGACACACACACACAGAGACAGACAGACAAACACAGAGACAGACAGACAAACACAGAGACAGACACACAGACACACACACACAGACAGACAGACAGCACAGTCTGCAAAACAACTTTGATTGACATCTCGACCAACCGCTCACACAAAACCATCCCAACCCAACCCAACCCAACCAGGAGCTCACACCAACCCCAACCAACCCCCACTGACCAGGACTGTCCAGAGCCTCACACCAACCCCAACCAACCCCCACTGACCAGGACTGTCCTGAGCCTCACACCAACCCCCACTGACCAGGGCTGTCCTGAGCCTCACACTAACCCCCACTGACCAGGAGTGTCCTGAGCCTCACACCAACCCCCACTGACCAGGGCTGTCCTGAGCCTCACACCAACCCCCACTGACCAGGGCTGTCCTGAGCCTCACACTAACCCCCACTGACCAGGACTGTCCTGAGCCTCACACCAACCCCACTGACAAGGGCTGTCCTGAGCCTCACACTAACCCCCACTGACCAGGACTGTCCTGAGCCTCACACTAACCCCCACTGACCAGGGCTGTCCTGAGCCTCACACCAACACCAACCCCCACTGACCAGGGCTGTCCTGAGCCTCACACCAACACCAACCCCCACTGACCAGGACTGGTCGAGAGGTAAAAGGAAGAAATCATTTAGTATCTCTCTCTCTCTCTCTATTTCTCTTTATCTTTCTCTCTTTTTCTCTCTCTCTCTATTTATATATATATATATCTATCGCTCTCTCTATCTCGCTATAGTTCTCTCTATCTATATCACTCTCTTATTTCTCTCTCTACATATATTTATCTCTATCTCTATCTGTTATTTCTCCCTATATATATATGTATATTTCTCTATACATTTCTCTCTCTATCTGTTATTTCTCTCTCTCTCTATATATATATCTCTATATATTTCTCTCTATCTCTCTATCTGTTATTTCTCTCTCTATATATATATTTCTCTCTCTCTATCTGTCTATCTCTCTCTCTCTCTCTCTATATATATATGTATATAACTCTCTCTTCTGCAAAATATAAACAATAAACAGATCACATAAGGCTGAGAGAGACTCAGCAGCTCACACTCACTCTCACACACTCACAGCTCTGGTCCTGTCACCCACAGCCCTGTACACAGCAGCAGAAACACGACCCCCTACAGCATTCTCATGAAACCCCCCAAAAATATCAAAACATTTTAGTAACTGTGCAACATGCAAACCTGCAACATGACAGGACCTGCACCTCTGCCCTCTCTGCAGTCCCTTGAAGACCCCCCCCCACCCCCCAAGCCCCCTGTGTATATAAACCTATTAGCTTATTACCTTGCGGAGAACCTTCTGACAGTTGGTGCAAATGAGGTATTCGGTGGAGAGCTTTTCCGAATTCATGGTGTTGCTGTTCTCTTTGCAAGTGTTGGATATGAACATGTTTTTCTGGTCACTTTTCTGTCAGGAGCTGTTGATCTTCTGTCACATGTGTGTGTTTGCCCATGTGGTGGTGGAGGTGGTGGTGGTGGAGGTGGTGGGAGGGGGTTAGAGAAGTGCTCAGGACTTGTTCAGCTTAAAGTTGTAACTTGTTTTTCATCGGTTTTCTTCACTCCCCAGAACTGGTTTGAATGTCTGCAGCCACTGAGCTGCCAACACCAGCAACTGCTCCCACCGACTCCAGTGCAACAATTTCACCGCTGTTACCATCTCCCCTCCTCCTAACCAATCACTGCACAGTAATGTAACCATCTCCCCTCCTCCTAACCAATCACTGCACAGTAATGTAACCATCTCCCCTCCCCCTAACCAATCACTGCACAGTAATGTAACCATCTCCCCTCCCCCTAACCAATCACTGCACAGTAATGTAACCATCTCCCCTCCCCCTAACCAATCACTGCACAGTAATGTAACCATCTCCCCTCCCCTAACCAATCACTGCACAGTAATGTAACCATCTCCCCTCCCCCTAACCAATCACTGCACAGTAATGTAACCATCTCCCCTCCCCCTAACCAATCACTGCACAGTAATGTAACCATCTCCCCTCCCCTAACCAATCACTGCACAGTAATGTAACCATCTCCCCTCCCCCTAACCAATCACTGCACAGTAATGTAACCATCTCCCCTCCCCCTAACCAATCACTGCACAGTAATGTAACCATCCCCCTCCCCCTAACCAATCACTGCACAGTAATGTAACCATCTCCCTCCCCTAACCAATCACTGCACAGTAATGTAACCATCTCCCCTCCCCTAACCAATCACTGCACAGTAATGTAACCATCTCCCCTCCCCCTAACCAATCACTGCACAGTAATGTAACCATCGCCCCTCCCCCTAACCAATCATTGCACAGTAATGTAACCATCGCCCCTCCCCCTAACCAATCATTGCACAGTAATGTAACCATCGCCCCTCCCCTTAACCAATCATTGCACAGTAATGTAACCATCGTCCCTCCCCTTAACCAATCATTGCACAGTAATGTTACCATCTCCCCTCCATTCCCCCCCTCCCCCTCCTGGTCAGTTATCAAACAGTAATGTAACTATCTAACCCTCCTCTGGCCTATCATTGTACTGCAATGTAACCACCACCTCCTGACCAACTTTCACATATTGATGGACTCAACCCCATTCATTCTAATGAACTGAACCCTCTTCCAGCACTTCGAAAGTTCTATGTCAAAGATGCTACATAAACCTTTCTTAAGTCATTTCTTTATCCTGCCTTCACATCCTTCTTAAAAATATATCTCTATGGTTACGCCTTTGATCAATACTTTAAAATTTCTCCCCCATCTGGATAACCCCGATTGTCTTCACTCTATGTAAAAGACATTATACAAGAACAAGATGTTGATTATTGAAGCTGACGTGCCTATTGATTCTGTCCCATTACATTAGAATACATTAGAAATATACAGCACAGAACCAGGCCATTCGACCCAACTGGTCTATGCCGGTTACCATTACTTCAAAGTTTATGGTAAAATATTTGCAAAGACTTAACAAAACTTTACATTTTACAGAGCGATTTAAGCAACCAAAAAAAAACGCTTTTTATTAGGCTTTTAGATTGAGTGTTGAGGTGGGCTGCTTTATCAAAACATAACCATGGATCAAGAAAATGCTATTGGGCCCCATCAAGGCCAAAATCCATTTAAGACAGGGCCTCAGTTTAATATCCCATCCGAAGAATGGCACCTCCAACAATGCAGCTCAGCACCAGCTCTAAATTTAAGAGTCAACTTAGACTATGAGCTCACAAGTCACAAAGTGGGGCTTCTTTTGACCCACAATCTTCTGACTCAAGGACAAGAGTGCTATCACTGAACCAGCTTTTATTTAGCCTCTGCTAAATCGTCATTCTACTCCAAGACAATCTTGAAGACTAAGGACAACCCTAGGCTCCTCTGCTCCATCACGAACAGTTCCTCCGACCACCCTCTCACGCCTTACCCATCCTCACCTCAAATGCTAACTGTGAGACGATGCTGAACTTCCTCGAATCCAAAATCGAGGGAATCCTCTCATCTGCCTCTGCCACTACATCTGATACTTCCTCCCCATCTCCTCCTCCTACCCATCCCTCCCTCCACACCTTTCAACCTGTCTCCCCCTCCTCTCTCATCACCACCATAACCTGTATGAAACTGACCACCCGCTCCATGGACACCTTTCCTACCCCTCTCCTTACCTCCCAGCTCCACCTCCTTGTGCCTCTACTCACTGACATCATAAACCTCTCCCTGTCCTCTGGTACTGTTCCCACCCAATTAAAAACCACCATCATCACTCTATTCCTGGACCCTTCTCTACTCCCAAACTATCGCCCCATCCCCAACCTCCCTTTCCTCTCCATGGTCCTGGAATGAGTTGTTGCTTCTCAGCTTCACTCCTTCCTCTCCCGCCATTCCATTCATGAATCCCTCCAATCGGGTTTCCGTGCCGCCCGCAGCCCAGTAACAGCCCTGGCCAAAAAAACAAATGACGTTCTGTCCATCTGCAACCAGGGCTCCCTCTGCCTCCTTGTCCTCCTTGACCTCTCTGCTGCTTTCAATACCGTCAAACACTCTACGCTCATCCACCGTCTCTCCTCTCACCTCAACCTTCATGGCTCTGTCCTTGACTGGTTCAGATGGTAACTCTCACACCGCCTCCACTTGAACCAGCTTTTATTTAGCCTCCGCTAAATCGTCATTCTACTCATTGCTGTGCGCAATTGGCTGCCGTGTTTCGCCCACAAATATACAGTCAATTCACTTTACAGCATATTCTGTGAAGTACTTTGAGATGTCTAGAAGACGTGAAAAGCGTTATATCAAATGCAAGGATTATTATTATTATTATTATTATTACTACATCTCCACAAACGGCTTCTCTTCTAGACCCGCACAATCTTGTGCGGGGTTCCTAGGGCTCTGTCCTCGGTCCCCTCCTCTTCAATATCAATACGTTCCCTCTTGATGACATCTTCTACAGACATGGGCTCAACTTCCACATGTATGCGGATGACATCCAACTCTATCTCTCTGCCTCCCCCCTTGACTCCAGGACTACTGCTGTCCTGACTGAATATCTGTCGGACATCAAGTGCTGGATGAGAGCAAACTTTCTTCAGTTGAATGTCAACAAGACCGAGGCTCTCCTGATTGGCTCCCGTCAGTGCCTCCTCACCTCAGGCGCTCACAGCATCACCATCCATGGTTACACACTCCACCTTGCTAAGCCAGTCCGGACCCTTGGGGTCTTGTTTGACCCTCAACTATCCTTTTACCCCACATTGGTGCCATGACCTGCTCTGCCTTTCCCCAACTCCACAAAGTCACTCAGCTGAGACACAGTCTCACATTGCAGGCCGCCGAAAACCTCATACATACTTTCATTACATCGAGGCTCGATTAATAATCTCCCCCTTCTCTCCTCTTATATGTTCCGCCTGAAAACTTTCCTCTACAACTGTGCTCATGCCCACCTCCCCGTTCCCCCGGGCTCAGAGTTAGGCTCTGCCACTGTTAAGCGCTCTGAGACACTACCCTGCGTGGAGGGCGCTTTATAACAACAACAACAAAATTACATTTATAGAGCGCCTTTCGCATCAGGAGGCCGTCCCAAAGCACTGAACAGTCAGGTGTTGGGGTCCGAGCATGTGGAAGGGGTGGTGTAGGGGTGAGGGAAGGCAGAGAGGTGGGAGGGAGACCAAAGGCATGGTTGAAGAGAAGGGTCTTGAGACCAGCCTTGAAGGAGGTAAGGGAGGAAACGAGGTGAAGGGACCATGGGATAGAGTTCCAGAGTGTGGGAGCAGGTGGCTAAAAGCCCGGCCATCGATGGTAGGGCGGGTCGGGTGGGAGACATGGAGCAGGTTGGAGCCTGATAAATGGAGGGAGCGGACGGTTGGTAGGGAGTCAGCAGGTCAGAGAGGTAGGAGGGGGCAAGGCCACGGATGGCCTTAAAGGTGAGGATGAGGATCTTGAACTCGATCCTCTGGGAGATGGGGAGCCAGTGGAGTCGGGCGAGGGTGAGGGTGATGGGGTCGTGGAGCCTGGTGCATGAGAGTACACGAGCTGCAGAGTTTTGGATGATCTGCAGCTTGTGAAGGGAAGAGTTGGGAAGGCCGATGAGGAGGGAGTTTCCGTAATCAAGCTTTCATGTGACAAATGCGTGGGTGAGGGTTTAGCAGCCTGAGGGGTGAGGCAGTGGAGGAGTCTGGCAATATTGTGGAGGTGGTGGTAGGCAGTGCCGGTCATGGTGCGGATGTGGGGGAGAAAGGACAGTTCAGGGTCGAACAAGATATCCAGGTTCCTGACTGGCTTAGTGAGGTTGAGTGTGCAGCTGTGGAGGCTGATGCTGCCAGCGCCTGAGGTGCGGAGGCGCTAACGCGAGACAATCAGTAGGGTCTCAGTCTTGCTGACGTTGAGTTAGAGAAAGTTGTCCCTCATCCAGAACTTGATGTTGGTCAGGACGGCAGTAGTCCTGGAGTTCAGGGTGGAGGCAGAGAGGTAGAGTTGGGTGTCATCCGCATACATGTGGAAATTTACCCCATGTCTGCGGATGAAGTCACCAAGGGGAAGCAAGTTGTTTTTGCTGTTGTTATTATGATTGTTATTTTATTTGATCGTGTAATATAAAAAGACAGCAATATCTCACTGCCAGAGTAAATTACGATGTGCTCAGAGCTTTCCAAATCTTTTCAATCGAGAATCAACGATTTCACATAAATTCATGTGAAACAACATTTTGCCCCAGCAACAGGGTGATGTCAGTACTAACCCGAAAGTGCAACCAATGAAGGACGCAGCATGCTTCGGTGAGAGGGGTCAGGCACTGTATTCTAGCAGTGTTAAGGAACAGCCCAGCATTTCCTTGCAAGCCAAAGCTTGACTGCCTCGCTCATATCAAAGCTAATGGAGCACACAGCAAATGCGGGCTAGGGAAAGAGGGTGTGGTGTATTTTTAATGCACTAATCTCTTCTAAGCTTTTTAAAAGTGAGAGGAATTTTTTTGTAAAATGCCTTTTGTTGCTGCAAGTGCATTTCTTTTGGCTTCATTTGCTTACACGAACCACAGTGCTTCCTCCCAAAACAAACAGGAAAACAAAATCTGGCATTTTGAAGATCTTGGTAAAAGCAGGTGTCATGTTTCAGCATATGACCCCAGTCAGCAGTTGTTGACGACAGGTCCACTGCTTTAAAATATGGTTGTAAGGAAGCGAAAAAATTTTTTAACACTGACCCTCAGCACACGAGGGTATTGTGTGCAGTTCTGGTCTCCACATTATAGAAGGGACGTAGAGACATTGGAGAGGGTGCAAAGGAGATTCACAAGAATGAGAGGTTATACCTATCAAGAAAGGCTGAACATACTTGGACTCTTCTCTTGAAAAGAGGAGGGTAAGGAGTGACCTGATAAAGGTCTTTAAAATGATGAAAGGTTTTGATAAGGTAGACATAGCGAAGATGTTTCCACTTGTGGGGGAGACCAAAACCAGTGGCCATCAGTATAATATAGTCAGAACTAGATCAAATAGGGAAGTTAGAAGAAATTACTTCAAATCAGTGACTAATGGAAAAAAATGAAATCAGATCTGCAAACTAAACATTTTTAAGGAGAATACGTAATGACCCAAGAGGTTCATTCAGTGTGTAGCTGACC